AAAGGATGAGAGGCAACATTGCAACATTCGGTATGATTCTTGGTAAGTGGTTTCTCTGTTTTATGTCACCGAAGAGAATGCAAACTAAAAACTAACATTCACAATCCTGCATTGTAACAGACTTAAGCTACAGGACAAAGCCGTTATCAAGTTTGAAGACTTATATGCAGCAATTCGTGATCCTTCTACTTCTGGGGCTCCAGTCTGGCTTGATCCCATCAGCCACCGAAGGGGGGACAGAGTCATGATGACTGCATCACAGGTGCATTCGCAGCTAAAAGAAAAAGCAAAACAAAGGTATAAATGCTTCTGCAGCAGTCCATAGACGGGGAACCAATGTGATCATGTAGTCTGATCTCTGTTGTAACACTGTTCCCAGAATTTTCCCTCCATGATTCCTGCATCAAACTGTACCATTTGTGACTGAACTAGTCTATATATTTTAGAAATCCATCCAACCTTGATTTAAAGATTCCAGGTGATGGAAAATTTACAACATCTCTTGAGATATTTCTTCTCATGTTGATTGCTCTTATTGGTAAAAGTTCAGGATTTATCAGGTTTGACCCTGGCAGCATCCAAGTCTGTAGAGTGGGTTCATGAGGGAGGAAAGCATCCTTTTACAGGTTGCACCTCTGAAAACTGGTATTCTGTGGTCTGACCACGGATGCTCCTGGACTAGAGAGCCCCAAAGCCTAATGGCAGGAGGGTCAGCAGCCCAGTGGGGGCTGGGGACAGCAGGGCCAGAGGAGTTCCATAGCAATGCTGGGATCAGGAACAGGAGAATCCTGGCAGCCCGCAGCAGAATGGAGCTTGGGGCTGGAGAACTCCAGGTGCCCACGACAGCACGGGGCTGGGAGCCGTAGAATCCGGGCAGTCCTCAGCAACGTGGAGCCAGGAGCTGGGGAACCTCAGGCATCCATGGCAGCATGGGGCTAGGAGCTTTAGAAGTATGGTGCCCATGGCATCATAGAGCCAGAGAACCCCGACAGCCAGCAGCAGTGCAGGGTTGGGAGACAAAGAAGTGTGGCCACCTGCGGCTGCACAGGGATGGAGAAATCTGGCCACACATGGCAGTGTGGGCCAGGGCTGGAGAAGCCCGGCTGCCAAAGGCAGCAGAGCAGGGAAGAGGAAAGTGGGGGACAGAGGCAGGGAGCCAGTTGACTCGGGGCTCCTGGCAGGGGACACTTTCCCTGGTCCAGCAAATTCTGTCATTTGGGACCAGTCAGGTCCCAACCATGCCAGACCAGGGAGGTCCAGCCTATACAAGTGGTCCCTAAAAGGAGGGCTCAAGACTCATTGTCTGAGGATTTAAGAAAAATGCTAACCAAAGCTACCTTCTTGCTTCTTTTCCGTTGCTAAGAAACAACTGTAAAGGAGCACCCAAGCACAGAGTAGGGTCAGTTTTTCTTTTGAATAGAAGTGTTGTAATTCTGTGTTTGTAGAGAATGGGGAATTTCAAGTGGGGCAGGCATAGGGTAGGTTTCATATGACTGAAATGTATTAAGGATCGTCTTGTCTTCTGTTGGAAATAGGTTGCTGGATATTGCCAATCTGTTACCCCAGAAGAACCCAGGTGGTGACATCAGGATTCTGATGCCTGAGTTTAAGAACATGCTTAACAAATTAGGGTTTCACATTGTAAATGAGGAGTTTGAAAAGCTTTGGAGAAGGTAACCTCTGATTCAAGTTTTAGATAATATTCTCATTCCCATTTAAAAAAATAAAGCACACCTCTCTGGTGGACTTGTGAGGGTATGTGCGTGTGATGCTGGCATGGGATGAAATAAAGAGGGGACAAGTTAAATAGAGAGCACCTAGACAGTGTAAGATATACAGAAGCTACTTTAATCTGTCATAGTACTAGTTCCTACCCTATTTGCCGCAGAGAAGATGCTTAGTCCAGGCATAGGACAGAGGACTCCATTGACCACTCCTTAATTTGTAGCACACACAACTCTCAGTGAAATCAAGTGAAGCTGCACACATGAACCAGCTGCAGAACAGAGTCTGCTCCTCTATGTAGTAACCAGCTAGTGCGCCCAAATGGCAAAGTTTCTTAACTGGTATGTGCTGATACTTTCCACAGAAATATTGGTCACATGAATTTTCACTAGTTCACTATAGTTCTAACAGCAGGTCTGCTGCAAGTAAAGATCTGTGAGTCTATTCATAATGCAGTTTCCATTACAAACCTGATTTATATAGTTACCCATTTTGTAAAGTGCTCTGAGACCATCAGCTGTAAGGGGCTACGTAAGAACAAGTATTATTATAACAGTATGCTCCTGATTATGCACATAGTTTGGGGAACATGGCTTTTTTTCACATAATTGGAAGTTTGGATAATCGAAAGGGTAGTGCAAAGAGTTCATTCCTCTGACGTAATGGCCCTGCTCGCTCACTTGTGACTGTGGAGCTGCAGAGGGTTTCCTCTTCTGCCCTTCCTGCACAGAGGGCTCTGGTGTAGGGATGTTAAGGACTATCCGATAAGCAAATCCTTATCGGATAGTTAACAGGATAGTTGACTAGTCGCTTCCCCCACCCTCCACTGCTTCTGTCAGATAGAGGCAGCAAGGGGGGGGGAAGAGGTACTTCAAAGCGGCAGCACTGCACATGGAGCCTTGGGGTCCTGGGCTCTGTGCGACGCTGCCGTTTTCAAATGCCACAGCCACATTTCAAAGGGGCAACACTGCACAGCTGATCCCGGGCACCATGCAGCGCTGCGCCTTTGAAACACTGCCACAGCGTTGCAAAGGGGCAGTGCTGCACAGCTTGATCACAGGCTCCATGCGGCGCTGCCCCCTTTGAAATGCCGCTGCGGTATTTCAAAGCGGCAGCACAGCGGGGAGCCCGGGGCTAGCTGGGGAGTCCCCAGCTGATCCTGGACTCCACCTGGCATCTCAAAGTGGCATAGTCCCACTGAGGCCAGGATCAGCTCATTGTGGTGCTGCTGCTTTGAAATGCTGAGTGGAGTCCGGGATCAGCTGGGGATTCCCGAGCTCCTTGTGACAAGAATCCCCAGCGGGAGTCAAAGCAGAAGCGCCCATGTGGAGCCCGGAGTCAGTGGGCCTTCCTGCTGGGGCTCTTGTACATTTCAAAGGAGGAATGCAGAAGTGCCTATCAACTAGTGAGTAGTTGATGGAAATTCCATCAACTGCTCGACTACTAAATGAATCGCTAGTTAACATCCCCACTCTCGTGTGCCCTACTACAACTGCAGCCTTCCTTGTGCCTGCCGGGATCAGGTGTCATTGTCCCTGTGGCCACACAGGGAGCTCTCTGTTGCCCCACTGTCATGGGAGTGAGACATAATGTGGATGTTTGGATAACAAGGTTTAAAACAGTCGCAGGCCCAGACATAGGGGTGTGTGCGCAAAGGACGTGAAAGCACCCCCCATAAGCTCCAAATAAACATGCTCCAGCTGGCCAGGAGAAGGCAGAGTGGCACGCTGCCCAAGCCACCCTCCTCCATATTCTGGTCAGCTGGGGAAGACGGGTTGATTTCCCTGCTTACTTTGGGATCCATGGGAGGCGCATTCACACCCTTGTGGTCCACAGTTACAAAAAAAGAACCCATCTCGCCCACAGTAATTCCTGAGTTGGGAGTATTCTGTATTAGGTCAGATCATAATTCCGGAATATGAAATGCAGAGCCCATTGGATCCTCCATGCTTTCAGTGGAAGCAGAGGATTCGGGGCCAGTTGAGCATTCAGGACTTGGCTCATTGATTATATTCTTTTATCTGTGACAGGGGTAGAGAACATCAGGCCCGGGGGCTGGATGCAGACCCTGGCTCGCTTGGATCCAGCCCCTGAAGGTCTTTAATTCAAATACATTTTGTTTTTCTTCATTTAAATCATTGTTCTGGGGTTGGGCTGGGGATGAGGGGTTCAGAATGCAGTCTGCCCCAGGAGAGAGGACAACCCCCGTCCTCTCTCACTGCAACAGCTTGGGGCCAGGTGAGAAGTGCCTCTCCATGGCTGCTGTAGCTCCAGTGGGCACAGCTGAGGGAAGGGTGCATGTCCCCCGGATGGGGAACATACAGACAAACAGAAAAACTCTCTGAAATATATAGTAGATAACTGTCCTTTTCTCCATCTCTGCCCCCGGCTGCCCCATGGCGTTATAGTTGTTTGTCCTGGTCCCTATCTCTGGTCCTTGGTCCCCCTTGGTCATTCTGCAGTGTAACTGACCTGCCTGCCAGTTCCTTCCCTTTCCATTTTATGAGAAACAGTCGAATTCCAGGAACATCCCATTATCCTGGCACAACCAAACTCCGACCTTGCTTTAAGTTATAAGAGGAAGCTGTATTCCAAATTCGGTGGTCCCAGCTCTTAGCGTTTAGAAGGAGTTCTTGAAGAAACGGACTCAAACATGAACGGACAGACAGACAAATGCACATTTCTAAAATATATAGTAAGTTTATGGGGACAGCTGGGAATGTCGTCTATTGTTCAATTTTGGTATGTTGGAAAAATCTGCTCCACAGGTTTAGTTCGACTGACATTATGTCAGTGCTTGGTGTTCACAGGAGGGTGACAGTGCTGGGGAAGCAATGAATTCTAAGGGTACATCTACACTAGCCCCCTAGATCGATCTAGGGAGGCTAATGAGGGCGACAGAAATTGCAAATCAAGCCCAGGATTTAAATATCCTGTGCTTGATTTGCATGTTTCCGTCCAGTCGCCATTTTTAGAAATTGACTAGCCCAGAGTAACTGTCCGTGACTACACACGGCAGTGAAACGGGGATTCCGATTTAAATCCCCTAAATCGAATTAGCTGGTAAACCTCATTGCAGGGGGAATACCAGCTAATTCGAGTTAGGGCTTTAAATCGGAATCCCATTTCACTGCCACGTGTAGACGCGGGCAGTTACTTCGGGCTAGTCAATTTCTAAAAATGGTGACTGGACGGGAATATGCAAATCAAGTGCGGGATATTTAAATCCCAGGCTTGATTTGCAATTTCGGTCACCCTCATTAGCCTCCCTAGATCGATCTGGGGGCTAGTGTAGACGTACCCTAAGAAAAGAGTCTAAATATGATCATGGCTTTCTCTTTTTGCTGTTCAGATATGACACAGAAGGAACTGGAATTCTGAAAGGAGATACACTACTAAAAAAACTAAGAACTGAGCTCCGAAACGGATCTTCAAAGAATGCTAAAGTTTCTGGTAAAAAAAAAAAAGAAATTTAATTGAATTGAATCCCCAGCTTTCAGTAACATTCATTGCAATCAGAAAAGAAAGGGCATGGAAAGTGAATACTTTGTGGCACTGGTTATGGGGAATGGTGGCTCAGCACTAGTCAAGTATTGAAATAGCTATTCTCAAGTCTTAAAATAATCACTCTCTGTCTGATGAATGTTTGGTAGCCTCTGAAATTAATTTGGTGGTTTTAGTTCTTATTGGACAAGTATCAACATCACAAATCTTTTACCATATTTGTTGATTACTAATACCTCTCTCCGCCACACTGTCTGAGGATTTTCTAGAGTACTTTTCACAATAGTATCTTCTAGGAGCACTGAACCAAGTAATTTAGATCTTCCAAGTACAGTCTATAGAATACTTTCAGTTGATTATGCTGGTGGCCTTTCCTAAGTTCCAGGATTTTTTCTTCTTTGTGTCATTGTTTACTTAAATAGCCTACATTATGTGATGTGTATACATGTTGCCTATTCCCAGACATCATGGTTACCTGCTGAATTGCCTGCCTGCAACATTAGGGATAGAACCTAGACTTTTGATTAAAAAATTGGTGTCTATTCAGGCTCAGCTTTCCAGTTAGGCATCGTAGGCATGTGCTTATGGGCACCAGAATTCTAGAGACACCTTACTTCTTTAGAACTGTACAAAATTAAGGTCAGCTGCAGGGGGGTAAGGGAGCACTGTCGACACCATGCCCAGGGGTATGTAAAGTGTAAATCCAGCCCTGGGCCTACTTCTTTAGTTAAAACCTTTGTTACAAATACCTGTGAGGCTTTTATCCTCTTGATACAACACACATGAGAGTACAATGTAATCATGAACAGGTCTGACAGTTAATCAAGAAAAGACATACATTAGCAAATATGTTACAAATATAGCAAACAGACCTCCAGACAGAGTACCAATAATGGAAGTCACAATCCTAAAGTCAGGCCTTCTAGCTTAGGGGTAGACATTGGGACCCTAATGCTCTCTGCCTTCAGCTTCAGATGTGCATACAAATGTGTGGCTTGGTGTATGAAGAATCTGCCTTGAATTCCATAATGAGCAGAGACCAAAGACTGTAGAGGAGTCACATCTCAAGGTGGTCCCTTGAGGTCAGGGTTAAAGTATATTGGTGGTGCATTGTGAGGAACTTGCATTGTTATTGGCTTGCCCAGTAGAACAGGTGTCATCAACCTTTTTTTATTTTGTAGACCACCTCTTGAGATCCTTTCATGGGATACCTCCCCTTCTAACTGTCTGGTCCTGGTTCCTCATATTAATTCTACTGGAGACAAGATGAAAATAACTTCACTTAATAATAACGAGCATAGCTGCATGTTACTTCTTCCCACCTTGTGTCTTTGTTACTTATTTCACTGAAGAGGTGGATCTCTTCTTGTTCCCTGCAGCCCCCACTACTCTAATCTTTCCATCTCACTTTGCAGTTTAGTTCTGTCTGCCTGTGTGTTTGTTACCCCTGAAAATTTGCTAATCTGACCATGGTTAAATTTACACCCAAGAAACACTTTGCAAAGAAAGAAACAAAGGAGTTGTGCAAGGGGCAGAGAAGTGGTGTCTCTGAGCTTAATTGGATAAAAACGGTACCTGCAAAACCTGAATGAGTCTTGGGCTGTGCTCTAAAACTAATTGGAGGCATCACTGATTGAAGAAAAGTGGCTGTTTCCCAATGGTAACAGAAGGAGTTTTATGGGGCAGCTGGAAATGGTTCTGAGATCACATATTAGTCCATGGGCCACAGATGGTGAACAACTGCTATTGAGAAATGGAGGCCTCCATTTTCTAGGGTTATCAATCTGGCACCCTCAAAACCACTGAATTCCCCAGTACAGGTGCTGTTTCCTTCTTTTATTTTTAAAGAAAATAAAAAAGAAAAGGTGTCAAGAGTCATGGTTTGTTTGTATATTAGCAACATTGCATACATAAGTTGGTGTTCAAGGGACAGGTATTCATGAGCTGGTGGGTGACGCAGTCCTAAACAGAACAGCAGGAAGATTTACTTCTCATTTTATTAGGGAGTTCTATCAAGAGGCAACTCTGGTTGTTTGGATTTCTTTTTACTGGATATTATTAAGACTACTGCTGTGCCCTTAAAATTATATACTATACTGAAGCAGACTCTACAAGGGTATGTCTACACTACAAAGTTAGTTCGAACTAAAAGACGTTAGTTCGAACTAACTTTCATAGGCAATACACTAGCACTCTGTTAGTTCGAATTTAATTCGAACTAACGGAGCGCTTAGTTCGAACTAGGAAAACCTCATTTTACGAGGATTAAGCCTAGTTCGAACTGGCCAACACCAGGGAAACTCTATTGCCCCCCTCCCGGCCCCGGACCCCATAAAGGGGCACGGGCTGGCTACAGTGCCCGTGCCAGGTGCAAACCTGCCAGCACCCAGCCAGCAGACCCTGCACCTGGCATGGCTCGAGCCAGCCACCCGATGCCCCCCCGCCCCCCC